TAATGACCGTACGTTGTATTCGGGGGAAGACTGTAGGTGCATTCCACAAATTGAGCTTTCGGTAAACTCAGACATAGGAGGGCTTTCGTTACTTAGTCTAAATCTGGACTAAGTACTTAGTCTAAATCTGCAGGAGGGCTTTCGTTACGTAGTCTAAATCTGAGTCTAAATCTGCAGGAGGGCTTTCGTTACGTAGTCTAAATCTGGACTAAGTACTTAGTCTAAATCTGCACTATGTACTTAGTCTAAATCTGGACTAGTACTTAGTCTAAATCTGCACTATGTACTTAGTCTAAATCTGGACTAAGTACGCAAGATAAATGCAGGAAAGTCACTCTGTAAGATTGCCGTTATACTCTCACTGTCTCAGAAACTTGACACAAATGCAGTCTTATGCAGAAAACGATCATGAAAAGACTGGAAAAGATTTAAAGATATAAATCCTCATACTTGCAATTGTCCCACTGTGCGAAGATTTTGACATGTGGAGAGAGAGAGAGAGAGAGAGAGAGAGGAAACTAGCAGAGAACACTGTAGAGAAATAGTAAGAATAAACTGTTAAAAAAATATAAAAATAAAAAAGTACAACGCTGATAAGATCCAGAGTGTCAGAGGTCTTCGTAGCATTACTCAAGTGCGGAGCACGTGACGTCGTTAGCACAAGAAAAGTCCTGATGTAAGCTTGCCGCTATATTATAAAAACCTTGACACGAAATGCAGAAAAGATCATATATATAGTCATGCTTGCGATTCTCCCACTGTGCGAACATTTCAGCATGCAGCCCTCGTGTTCCTTCTTTCTTGGTTTGTTTAATACTCTGGTATGTCCCATCCATAACCCCTTGTTTCAAGACCGAGGGATGAGGGGGGCTGGGGAGGGAGGTGTGCTGCTTTTTTTTTTTTTTTTTTTTTTTTTTTGGGGAAAAATGCTCCATCTATTGGTGGGGAGCGTCACCTGCTGGAAAACGGGTCCAGCGTCCCTTGTACAAAATGCTGTGTTGACAAGTTGAACCAGTTCTTTTGATTTTTTTTTTTAATTATAACATATGCGAGGAAACTGAGGGATAGCGAGTTCCAGAAAACCAAGCAGCATCATACACATGAAACCAGATAGTCTTCTTCTTCTT